AACAACAATGTAAACAATGGAAAGTAGAACATAAACACCTTGTTATTACTAAGTACACACATTTCTGTAAAAAACATCCAGGTCATGTGAATTTTACAATATTTCCCATTTCTGGACAATAAATGAAGACCATATATGCATAAAAATTGATGTAAGAAAATTACTTTCAGAAAAAAGCAACCCCCTTTTACTTAGCCCACATATTGAATTTGTCCACTTAATGCAGATCTATACTATTAAAAGCTATATGTATCTCATCTCCTTTAAAGACCACATCATCTTGCCTGTTTCTGCAATCCATAAAAACAAATTAAATAAAATACCCCTTTAATAAAACTTCCAATACTGTTCCCATGTCAGGCCATCCATTGGTATCCTGCCAATATGGAGCCTTTCCGAGTCACTTTCTTCCATTTCCAGCCTTGTGGGAACTATGTTTTGTTCATTTCTACATGGGGACCACCACACAGTATTTGTGCCCAGGGCCTCCAAATAGCTAGCGCTGTCCCTGATCTTATCTTGTGATTAAAAATATGTCACAGGCATCTGTGCCTCTAACAAATTTTCACAAAACCCCTGGTTTCCTATTCGGATGTCCTAATGCTAACTTACAGAGTCAGACCTTTGTTTTCTTGTGTAGTGAAGACCTACTCAGAGTGCTGCTGTTATTGGCCAACTGTGCTCCAGCTCATTTGGGTCCTTTTGGAGCATGGTAAACTTCACAGCTATGATCATAGTTATCCTCAATTTTTCATCATTCTTTCTTAACACCTACAGCCACATGAATGTATGCATGGCAGGCATTTTGTTCCAAAGCAGTGAGTTTCTTTTTTTAATCAATAAACCAGCTACAAGCTGTGAACTGCAGAGAAGATAGAGGACTGGGATATGGGTAGAAGTCCCAGTTTGCACTGCACACAGGAAAAAGACCTTAAGACCATCCATTTTCTGGCTATTTTCTTTTGGTTGCATAGAATACACCCAGAGTAAATGATTATATAAAGAGAAACACAGGTGTTATAGCAGAGTTAGATTTAACTTATAAACATCACCATAACAAATCCACCTAATTGATTTATCAAACTCTGATTTTTAATTCTTAAATATAAATTTTTAGAATTAAGTCCCTCTTTAACTTAAAGTACATTTTACTTTTTCGATTCAAGTAATTACTAATTATTATCATCATGTTTAGGCTTTGGTACCAGACTATTGCATGGTCTTTTAAGAGTGCAGCTGTGATGACAAAGCTTCGATCATGCTAAATATTTTATAGGAAATAAACTGCTAGCACACAGAGAGATGGTTTAAGACTAAAAATTTTGCAGAACAGTGTACAATTGGTTTATAAGTAAAACAAAGCAAACATCAGCTTTTAAGAAGAAAAAATGGATGTCTGGCACTCTAACAAAGTAGTTTGTTTAAAATGAAAAGAAGGAATGACAGAGTTAAAGTGAAACAAGATCAAAGTGATGTTCATGGCCTCGCTCCAGGTACAGCAGCCTCTTGGACAGGATTCAGTGGTTTCATTAACGGAGATGGAGCCTCGTCAGTGACAGCACAGGGCTTTTTTCTTTTTTTTTTCTTCTCCTATGTTTTTCCCTCCCCTCCTGAAGTGAAGAACCTTGGAAGTTTTGCTGCAAGTGAACATCCAGCTGGTAGTGCAACTAAAACTTTAGCTAAACTTTTAGATAAGATGTGTGCTTTCTCATCTCTTGGGGGGAAATTACATAAAAGTTGCAACAATAAAAATTAAACGATAATAATGTAAAATCTAGCTCTAAAGCTCTTAAGTCGTTCTCTGCATATCAAACAGTAATGTCAGATTTAATAACTGTAATTTTCATACCGTGTTTTGTCATTTAAATCCTCATCTTAATGTTTGCATTGTATGGAGCGTGAAATTGTTTTGTTTATTATTTGTACTGCTTTTTTTAGAGCAAATTTGTAACATAGTTTGCTCGGACAACACATCCTTACTGTATTTCATATTTTAGGTTTCCAAAAAAACACTGCAAACTATAGAAAATTGACATTAAAAACGTTCTAGAAACACTTACTTTATAGTTCTTTAAAAACAAATTATAAATAGAATAAAGTATCTTGCTTACTGCTTATTTAGGTTGCTACTTCATGTAAACTTGTGTTACAGTTAAAATCCCTTAACGTTTGCAAAGGTGAGAAAAACATACATGGTTTGCTGGAAGGATGCATGGCAATGCAACTGTAAAGTTGACATCTTTGTCAGATTCTTTGTGATTTCATATCGCCTTCGGTTCCACGTGCTGAGATCATCACTCCCCCGCGCCCCAACTTATAGACAGATACAGACAGACAGGGAGACACGACTCAACAGATTGAGGAAAAACAAGCAAATAGGCAGTAGCGAGAGCAAGATAGAAACATCCTCCCACCGGCGTTCTGTCGCTCATCCGACTAAGGAAGAAAAAAAAAGAAAGAAAAAAGCATTGCCCATCTGCTCTGCTGCAAAAGCTCCACCATGGCTATGCTTTCTCACCTACAGTGACAACTGTATCCAGGAGCTCCTCATCATCTTCACAGACGTCAGCAATTTTAGCCTAGAGCAACACTGAAACATGAGAACTAATAACTTGATGTAATCTGATTTGCAAGATGTGTGTGAAACACCATCTGTGCAGAAACCTTGCCATCTCTTTATCCTAGATTCCAAACAAAACAGGATGTGACAAATGCTCATAACAACCCGTATGTATCAAACAATCACAAATTCCTGTTGGATATTATGACCAAAGCATCATATAATTGTGCCTTTTTTGTTTTTTCAACCATGAAAGTAGAAACATTGGATTGTTGCAGGAATGTTTCGGTGTGTGCTGCTGCCCTGACCCCAATCCTCCTTCAATGGCCCTTTGGTTAAATTATAAACCATTCACTGAAATATTATTGTTGCATAACTGGTGATGCTGAAGGCTAAGCTAGACTTTGGATAGCCTTCAGATGAAATGCAGCACAGCCCTGTCACTTGTTCTCTCTGTTGAGCATGAACACACCAGAGCAAGTTGCAATTTGTGGCTAACATGCTTAAAATCGCTTGGTGCTATATGTTAAAGCTGCTCTATAAAAAAAAAAAAAAAGAAAATACATCGGAAAGCATACATTTACTTTTAGGTTTTATAGGACTTTAACTCTTTGAAGCCCTTTTTTTTTTTTTTTTAAGCAGTGTCTTTAATAGTTTGTTTTATCTTTAACACACCAGGGATAGCCTTATCGTTTGAGATTACTTTTGCCTACAGTCTGATATTATCAAGGTTTGCAGCTGCTTTCGCTTAAAGATTTGTTTCCTGCTGTCAGAAGTAACAACAGATCAGAAAATCATGACATTTCGTCTTTCTCAGTGGTAAAATAAAATATGGTGTCATTTTTTCTAATTAGACTTCCTTTCATTAATGGGATTGCTTTAAGTTGCCAGTGACAGAGGCTTCAGTTGCAAGCATTCCTTTGGAACTGCACATCATTTTAGACGTATTTTTGCCATAGGCAAGGTGTATTAATGTGTCACAGAAATGGAACTATGCTTTATCTACTTGACCTGTCACAAATAGTTTGCTCTAAAGGGTCAAAAGGGAAGATGGCTCAGACCATATAACCACCGCAGATCATATAACAAAATGTAATCCACCCTGACCTCAGAGTCAAGGTTACAGAGAACTGTGAGCAATGACTTTAAAGTAATGACGCGAAGTCAAATGTATAAAAATTCAATTAATTAGTTCATTATAACGTCTTTAAATGTATATTCAAATCGGCGCCCTAATCTTCCTAATGAACTCAGTTTAATAAGCTAATTTGTCTAATGGACTGTGTTTTATGTACCACTCCGATAAGGAGCAGCTCAGTTGGGAAACCATAACCCAGCATTCCGTCTCACTTTGGGTTTCTGTACAGGTGTGTGTGTTTTCAGTTTGTGTCATACTTCATGCTGTTTCCCTGGGAGTCAGCATTATGGCTGTGTGTCATCAAGGCGCCGTGCAAACTCATCATTTCGCACATCATGCACTTTTATCCCCCCCCCCATCACGTTTATTTGGAAAACGCTTCTGTATGTTTGGCTGCACATTCATCCTGTTGAAGGTTATTGGCTCAGAATAAAATACCTTTCACCATAAACATAGTTTTTAGGCATCTTCTTCTTTTTTAAATTTGTTTCATATGTTGGGGCTATGTTCTACTGCATTGTTTATTTCCCATTTCAGATTAAATCAAGTTTCTTACTTAATCTTAAATTAATTTTCCTTCTCTACTTGTCGGTTGTTTTGCAATTTTTTTGATTATATCTCCCTTTCCTCAAGTTTCTCATAATCCTTTGTATCCTTCCGTTTGTCCTCCAGCTCTCCTCTGCACAGCTTCTTTAACATTTATTCCTTTTTCATACCATTTTATTTTTTCTCCTATATCAACGCTGCCCCCTAGTGTTTTCAACATAATATTCCAGAACATATCGGTTACACCAGAGAATGTGTTGTTTTCTAACTCATTCATAAAATAGACCGACTTGATGGCAAACACACACTAAACATTGCTTTTGTCAGTTAACAATCATTAAAGTAAGTTCATTTTTTATCTCACTGACTAAAAATTTTATTAATAGGATTAAGAAGGATGCACTTTATTAATTTATTTATATACATATTGAATATTAATGGATCTAAAATTCCAATTGCAACTTTCTTATAATTTTAATGACTATTTTGACTGTTAAATAGCTAAAGAACTGCTTACAACTAGATGAATACATTCAGGGTTGTGAGAATTGGTTCCTGTAAATGTCTAAGATCTGCATCTGCAGAGTCCTTTTTAAAAGTCAACATGATGCAATAAACTATCCTCTTCTAACTTTTTGCAGACATACTGTTCATACTCTACCCCCATGTCTCGTGTTTTTAAACAAAGAAATCTTTAAAAGCTTTCTGTTTTCACGTTACCAGGTCTTCATGGATTTGCTATTCTTGAATTTTAGGTTAAGAGTGTATTCAATATGACTGCGAAGGAGGGAAGGAAGAGATCCATCAGCTGTCTGGTTGCTGTAGGAAACGGCAACGGAGTGGCAGGTTTGAATCATTGAATCTTCAAGCTGATAAAGTTGATTTGATTGTTTTGTATATACAGAGAATGTTGACCAGATTTTGTATTCTGTTAACTATGAACAATATTTTGTTGAAAATGTGAAAGAAATATGGTGAATAATGGCTCTATTCACTCCTTTATTTATGGAAATGATTTGATAAGATTATCTGTTATCCTGACACTAAACGGATTAATGTCCTGTCTCAGTACTGAAGTGTGTTTCTATTCTTTTACCACAAAAAAAGCTTTTAGAGAAGAGAAGGAAACCAATTGGTAAAATTGACTTTCCTCTCTGTCCCATTAGGGTTCGCTTTGGGTAAAGCAGCAGACAGAAATGCAGCTCTGAGGAAGGTAAGAACAAAAAACATATTAGATTTAGGTTCCTTTTTCAAACTTTTTTCTCTTAAAGTTTGAACTTTAATGTAGAATTCTAATGAATTCTAACCAAGTGAAAAACACTGCTAAAAAATAATGATGCAACTGATTTGAATCAGTCAGCCAGTGTTGAGAATGTAAGGTTGTTATTCAAAACTTTATTTGCTTAATCATCAGTTATTTGAAATTATTGTAACAAACTTTTTTCCCTTTCTGTCATGCATCTTTAATTTGCAGGCAAAGAACCGAGCCAAACGGCATTTGTACCACATAGAAAGATACAACGACCACACCAGTAAGTTCCTCATCATAGCAGAGCTAATTCTTTTAATCCTGCCATCTTTACAACAATATGTTGAATGGGTTATTATGCTTGTGGAACCTTTCTGAGAAACATTATAGGGATTAAAACTTACCATACACCAGAGATGGGGACTCGAGTTTGTGACTCGTACTCGAGTCGCACTTAAGTCGCATATTTAATGACTTCAGACTCGACTTAGACTCGTGATTTCCGACTTGTGAACAATATTTTATTCCAGTGTAAAAACACTTATTCAAGTGTTTTTTGTTTTACTAACTTGACTGATCGCCGCTCGCCTTACCCGCACACAGAAGAAAACTCGAAGACCCAAACCGTGAAGCACTCAAATTCAAGTGTTTTATTTCTACAAAAAGCCACAGCAAAAGTGGCATAATAAAACAGTCCTTTTCTTCTCCTGATAAAACCTAACATTCAAGAGTTTTCCTTAAAAATCAGAGGCTGGAAGTTGGGCTCCGCTTGTTATGCTGCTTCTGGTGCGAGTGATCAGCCTGCAGCACCCACTGGCTGATCCACAGACTCTGCGGGCTCCAGCACTGTTCCACTCCCTGGCGTGCCAAACCCCTTTCCAGACCGATCCAGCTAAAAAGAGAAGCAGGGAGAACGCCAGCATCCACGCGCCAAAACCCCGTCAGAAGATATATTCCTGTTTATGCTTTAAGCGAGGGGGAGCGCTACTTACAGGCGAGGTTCCTCCTCTGCCCTAATACTCCTTACTGGGCCATCTGTGCACCCTCCTGGCGCACGGATCCCGCCTGCCTCTCCCCCGGCAGCGCGTCCGTCTCTGTCACCTGCAGATTCCGTTCTCCTTTCCTTCAGACGCCTTTTATGTCGGCTTTAATCAGCCCTTGCTCACACCTGAGCGCAGCAATTACGCAGCGCAATTAATGCACTCCGCCTCCTCAGACAACTACTTCAGTCCAGTGCGCATGGATTGTCACAAGGGAAAAACAAACCAAAACAACCCAACATGCAGGAAAAATTCAAAAGTCTAAAATAAAGGAAAACAATCATATAAAAAAGAAACATCAAAACATGCAAAGCTCAAGAAGAAAATACAAAGAAAAACAAATCATATCTTCTCTCCAAACATGCAAAGCATAAAACTAACATTAAAATGAAAGAAAACCATAAATCATATTTTCCCTGTGCAACACACTGACGTCACTGACGCAACAGTACGTGGACGGCAGGATTGTGATTGTTTTTTTTTCCACAGTCCTCATTTTCAATAAAAGAGCAGACATTTACTGCTAAAACTAGAAAAAGTTGTAACCACAAATGTCAGGAAATACTGTAAGAAAATGCAAAATTTATCTGGAAAAAAATTTTGCGTGTGCTTTTTTTTAATTGTATTTTTCATTTAGCAGTTCAAGATAATGATAATTCCATAGATATAATAGCGACCTTTAAGCTATACCGTCTCAGTGACGGAGATAAACACAAGGAGAAACAAGCAAGCACAAAAATTATTGCACTTTTTTAAATTAATCAAGTGATTAGAATTTTTTGTGCGATTAATTGATTATTGCGACAGGCCTTCTCAAGACTTGAGACTTGACTTGGACTTGAGCTCTCAAGACTTGAGACTTGACTTGGACTTGAGCTCTCAAGACTTGAGACTTGGACTTGGACTTGCAAAAAATGACTTGTGAACATGTCTGCCATACACCAATTCACGTTTTACAACTAAAACATTGTTTGATGAGTAGACTGACATATAGACTGACTGATAGTTAAATAGAGGCCAGAACTGGGCTGTTAAGGATTTGTTACCTGCTACAAAAGGATGAAATAATCAGAGTTTCTACTTCATGTGCCTACAGTCAGATCACATCACTTAAAGGGAACGTTAAAAATCTCAAGTTACTTCATTTAAAATATATTAGTTAGTGACCCTGAGTTCATTGATGTAATTAGTTGCAGTTAACTGCTGACAGATGTTGCAAGCATCCCTTCAGAACTGGCAAACATTTTCCAAATGGATTTTTGCTATAGGCAAAGAGAAAGGACCTGTTTGCCTCTGGTGATTTTCTGCACAGAGTAACACAGCCCCTAGGCTTCCAAAGGTGGTGTTTACTAACAGAACAAAGAATCTGAGTTTCTCAATGATAACATATTAACAAATTTACATACCTCATACATTTTTTATTTAGTAGGAAATACAGTTACATATGTATATTTTCTCATCAAAATAAAGTCTAATTCTTGTAATCATAATTCTTCGACAAGTAATACAATAATTGCTTACCATTTATGTGATTTATCTGGAAAAACCTACACGTATGTTTCAGAGATAAGTTTTACACATAAAGATCATGGATGAGAAAAAAAAGGTCTCTTAAATCTGACCTCTTTCCACCCTGCACCCCAGGTTTCCTTTATTTTCCTCTTGGCTCATAATCACTCTGACTCCACTTGGCTTTCTGCTGCCTCATGAATCACCCACTCATATTCATGTAAGTGACATAATCTGAAAGATGGCTTTGTAAGCTAATGAATGGGAATCAGTATGAATTGCTTGTCCCTTCTTATGGGGAAGCTTCAGTTGGCTTCTTTTGCCGCTGCTGGAGAGCAGCATCAGAAAGATTAATGTGTGAGTCATCAGCCTCCATCACACCCACCGGAGGAGAAAGTTAGCTTCCTGATTTGGACCCGAACCAGGCAGGGTCGGAGTGTGTGTGGATAGGGATCTCTGCCCTGCTTGAGTTCAGAACATCAGTGTATTTCATTTTCTCAGGTTCAGGTTCTCTCTGTGCCGCCATCTGCATCCTGTCTCTGCTGTTAGTTCTTTTTTTATTTCACCTCTTTGTCTCAACCACCTGGCACCTGGAATTTTTAGTTTCCCTCTTTCTGCATTTGAAGCTCTGTATCTAAAGTTCCTTAAATTTAACCCAAATGATGTTTTATAACGGTGTTTCCGCGGGTCATTAAAAGTCATTAAATAATTATTTTTTGAATTAAGGCCTGAACTGGCATTAAAATTCATTAAATGTGATTATTTTGGTATTTAAAATGCTTTATTTAAAAAAAAATTTTATAAAAATTTTTTTTTAAATGATATATATATATTTGCAAATATATCACAATCGGGATATATTTGGGTACTTTTGCATTAAAATAATTTTTAAGAGCATTAAAAAGCATTAAATTAGAGTTGCTCATTCCTGTATAAACCATGTATAAAGTAACATAACTGCAACAAAAGCTTTTCTGCTGAATCTTTTTTTTGCAAATAATTAAATTCAATGCTGTGTAAAACTTCTTTTTTTTGGTAAATTTCTTAACAATTCGCTAGTTAACAAACCACAACCTTTCTTATTTTTTGTTTGTTTTTTGTGTAAAGGACCAACAAAGTAGTGAAGTGGATAGAAAAAGGCACATGATCATATTTTATTGCATAATAATAAAAAAAAAATCTGAAAATTGTGACATTTTTATGTAGTACCCCATGGTCGATTCTTTGCAGAACAACATTTTGCATTGCTACATGTCAAAGTTTTTGTTACTTTTTTCAGCTTTACATGTGTAAAAAGTGTTTTTTTCCCAATTCCTCTTTACAAAGTAGGTCAGTCAGATAGTTGTAGGGCGACTATGAACAGGAAGTCTTTGACCCACATTCTCATTTTGGTCTGAACTGTTGTAACACATATACATATGAAATCATTTCATTGTAGCTCATGCTTTGTGTTTGGTTTTTGACCCTTGACCAGGTTTTCATCTCATGATTGCTCTGTATTATATCCATTATGAGAAAAGAAACCCTCCTCACAGCATGATGCTGCTAACTCTCTACAACCTGTCTGCTATGATCCTTGTTCTCCTTTTTTCACTCTTTCATTGATCAGCTGTATTCATGCTGAGATTAGATTACACTGGGTTGTAACTGTAGAGAATTCCTGGAGGTCTGCTCCAGTTAAATATTAGTTGTTTATTCCCACTATTGCCACATGCTTGGGTACAAAACCTCACATTGGCATAAATTAAACTAGTTCTACTCCAACTAGCAAAATATAATGCCCTATTCTTTGATTAGAATGTTATTGTAAACCCCTAAATATCAGTACCTCTATTCACTACGTGAAACATTTAGATAAATTACACTGAAGAAATTCTTATATAAAAAAAAAAGTAGAACTGCAGTGGTAGCTTACACTCTTTGTTTTGTTTTTGTTTGTTTTTTTTTTTTTTACCTTTTTTTTTACTTCTTAACTGGAGTTGCCATTGGTGTCAGTTGAGCTGGATGCTTGTCACTTCTTTTTATCAACAAAATCTTTTTTTAATATAAAGCTTCAGTTGTTTGCTAAGTCAGACCCATTTAAGGACACCCTTGACATGGCGTCCGCTGAGCAGTGCAGGAACTTTCGACCCTGTTCAGGAAAATGGGCTACCGGCAGATGCATCGGCCCTGAACTACTGAGATGTCAGTCTAATCATCAATCATTATTTTCATCGTAAAGGGTAAAATAAACATTCTTACTAATTTAATACAACTATAAATATCTTAACTAACGAAGATTCAGGCACTCCATCCCATTTTTCATGATATAATTATATTAATTTGCGAAACAGATTAACCCTAATATTTCTGTTTTTTTCTTTAAATTATTTCCTTTTTAGTTTTTACATAATTTTCCATACACATCAACACTCTTGGAAAAAAATACTTCCTCTGAAACTTTTTTTTCCATTATTTTATTCATTTAATTTATTTAAAGTGAAAAATACAATGTTTTTTTTTTGTTTATGAAATCCTTTACAATTATAAATATTGATCTGAAAATATAAGTTGTTCTTCAAATGTCACAGTTGTTGGCCAAAATATTTTTTTTTAGATGGAAGAAAGGTTACAAATGGTTCTTTGGATATGTTAATGCACTTCAATTGATGGTATTATATTCATAAATTGGATTTATTTTTCTTGTAAAATACAGAGTTAACAGTCGACTTAACGTTTGGAGCGTTAAACATAATCACTGTTAAAATTGTGCGCTAAATGGGCTACATCTAAGCAGGGCAACACAGTATATCTCACTGTTTAGGCTGCACAATTTGAATATTGCACGGGATAGTTTAGATTGCAGTAATTGTTAATCCTAATGTTCCAGTTGTCCAAAAGGTTCTAAAACACAAGTAATAATGAGGATAATGATCACTATCACTGGGGAAGATATTGAGATGAAACACATAATGGAAACCTATGGGTCCTAAAGGTTGCAAAAACATGAAAGTGTTGTGTATAAACAGGGAATTAGAAAAAAATGTGTATCTGATATCCAGATTTTAAAATTAAAGAATATTTAAGTACACAATTGTTTGTTCCTTTAAAGCATCAAATTTTGCTTCACTTTAATTAACACGACTTGACATTAGTCATCTTTATGTAATCCACTTGGAATATAATGAAGTTTGTGGGTCTGACAGGCTGTAAAAATACTGAGTTTTAATTATCTTGCAAAGGCTTGTAAGCGGTTTAAAATAAAAAAAAATGAATGCATTCGTCAGTCGCAGCAAGACCGAATATATCCACCTGCTCATTTCTGTCTGTTTTTGGAATAAATCAGACAGATTTAGAGTGATATTTTCTGTAGTTATTTCAATCTTCCATTTACTGGGAGATAAATTGGTTCTTATTTCAGAAGAAGAAAAAAGTTCTGCCTTGATTTTCTCACTTTGTCAGATGAAGCTGGACCTCCTGTTGCTCTAACAAATGCTTGATTCCCTGGGGTGGATGAGTCATCTAAGTGAATATGAAGTTCATATTAAGCTGAACTTTTCATTTCATCACTTGTGTAGATTTGTCTGTAGAGAACTGAAAAGAATAGTTATAAACTTTATATTTTTTTCAGTCCGTCATCAATGCGTCCTCATCTGCACTGCTGCATCATCCATGTGCAAAACTGAGTTCTTTGGTTCACACTGGACTACTCCAGGTTACAGGAACATCAGCAAGAGCTGGATTCCAACCTGAAGCCACGCATCTGCCAGCAAAACCCACTCCTCCTTGAGGGTTAGGAAATGAGTTTAAATAAGTAATCAGCTACAGCTGCTGCAGTGAGCAGGAGAGTCTCGCGTGTGGAGGGACAGCTGCTGGGCATGTAGAGAAATATGAGCCCCAAGGAGTGGTGGAAAATAAAAAGCATAAAGCAAAGTGCCTTCAGATGGAAACAACTCAAACATGTGGAGCTAGTTAGAATTTTTTGATTTGTTAATGATTTATTTTCTTCCATGTCTGATGCAGCTGTTTTGTTTCTCCACCAACAGTTTATCATGACATTGACTCCAGGTTCAAGAGGACAACTCTGCGTATGAAGAAGCAAAACGAGGGTGCGTCTGTTGCACAAGGGTTAATTTATGCCAGATATCTCACCCAGCAAATTTATATGAAATCATTCTGTGATGTTTACCTTAGCCATCCTCAAATGACTGCAGGCTGTGTTGGAGTTTGACTGCTTGTGCTTGCAGGTTATGGTCTGCACTGCCACAGGGCAGTCATCACTCTCTGCAAGCTGATTGGCATTAAGGACATGTACTGCAAAGTAGACGGGTCAGTCAATCTCCTGAACATCACTCGGGCACTCTTCACCGGATTGGCCAATCAGGTGGGATTATGTTTGAATAGCGGCAAGAAATCTCCAGAAAAATGTCTGACATATTCCTCCTTTAACGGTCTTACACAGGGTGGCCACTTATTCATTTTCCTAACCACTGAATAATAAGAAATACTAGTAACTCATGTTTTTAACTAGTTTTTTTTTTGTGTCTACATCTGGAAAATAATGTATTTACTGATGCAATCAAAACAGACCAATGAGAGCAGACTCAGCCAGAGATTGAGACGCAAAACGTATAGATATTCCCTTTTTAGGTATAGAGGGTTATAACTCTTGTATGCTTTCAATGAAAACTCAGGCTAATCTATTGATGTATTTTAAACTGTGATCAACTCATGGCCTGCCATTTGTCCCTTTTTATACATGAAGTCTAGAACAAAAGCCTTTTTTTTGCTTCCTCCATACAATGTGCTTCTAATACTCTATGTCAAGCATTTAGCATGCTGACAGAGAGTTTACATATTTTTCACATGCAATGTGCAACTGAGCAGAATACTGATTACTGCAGTAAGCCAGTATTAGTCAGGCTCAAGTTCTCCAGAAAGGGGTAAAAAAAAAAAAAACACTGGCAAACTTGCAGATCAATGAGTACAGAGACCTGAAACAGGTGAGGATCTATTGAAAAGTACCATTTCGTAGTTAATATTGTGGCATGACAAACTTTTAAAAGTTTTAACTTTTAGTTTTTATTATTTCGATTAAATTCAGTTTACTTATATAGTGTCAATTCACAACACGTCATCTCAAGGCACTTTACAGTTCACCAGATAAATTGATTCAAAGTTTTCTATCTAAGGAAAACCAGTTGATTGCATCGACTCATTGATTCGAATGCAATCCCTCACACTAAGCATGCTTGTAGCGACAGTAGAGAGGAAAAAAACTCCCTTTTAACAGGAAGAAACCTCCAGCAGAACCAGGTTCAGTGTGAGCGGCCATCTGCTAAGACTGACTGGAGTTCAAGGAGACAGAAGCAGAGATAGAAATTCTAGGCACCACTAGTAAACCTGCAGATTGACAGCGAAGTGCTCTGTTAGGGACATAAGCAACAATCTGATCTCTGATATAAGATGGAGCTTGGCCATTTAAGGCTCTATATGGAGAAGGAGGATTTTAAATTCTATTCTTGATATAACAGGAAGCCAATGAAGAGAGGTAGGATAGGATAGATAAGATCTCCCTTTCTAATTTTCATCAGAACTCTATTGGCTATATAAGAGAAACTAAAGTTCAATAGACTCGAACCTTAAACCCAAACATTAATATTTATTTTTTGAAACTTCAACAATTTAAGTTAAATGTTTTCTATATCTTTTTCCAATATTCTTTAGATTATAACACATATGAATATTTCTTTACAAACTTAGTTTTTTATTATTTTGGCAATTTTTCATCTCCATATACGAAGAAAATCATTGAAAAGCTAATTTTGCTCTTAACTGGGCTCATCGTCATTATTATCAGATACCTTAAAGTTAAAAGTAACGGTCTCCATATGAGTTGTTTTTACTGATAAATATCGTTTCCCTGCTCAACGTTTCTGCTTCAACCACCCAACAGGAAACCCACCAAGCACTGTCCGACAAGAAGCAGCTCCATGTTGTGGAGTTCCAGTCTCACCGAGGCCCGCTACCTGTAGTGGTGGCCAGCCCTAAAGACGGGGTGCGCCCCAACCCTGAGTCCAAGGATGAGATCCCCAATACCAAGCTGCACTGGGACGACGTTCAAGCTGCACAGAGAATCAAACGCTCCATTTGGGCTGGGGTGAAACGCACCGTCTGGTAGAGCAAAACACAAATTTAGTGATTGTTGCTGTTGATGTAGTGTTGAAAAGCTGAAAGGACAAACCTTTTTTCTTTCTTACACAAAAATTTGTTAATAATCTAATTTCAGAGTGAATCACCTGTTCAAATGTCTGATTATTAAACAAATGAAATTGAAATAAAGTTTGGAAAAATGATCAGGTACCAGTCAGGAAAACCCAACGGCCTAATAAAAACGTTTTGGTCCATCTTGATATTCAACAACATTAAATTGACAGTGAAATAAAGTTTCGTTCTGTAAAACTGTTGTGTGCATCTGTCTTTGTTTTGCTTAAATCCTTTTTAAAAGCCTTCAGCATTTCAGTTTGTTTTATGTAAAGGTTTCTTCTAATAAAAAAATAAATATTTGTTTCATTTATTTCAAATACTAAATTTACACTACTTTCAGGCACTAACAAAAGTACACCCAAGTAATTGGTTGGACCCTAGTGTGCTTTGATGTTTAATAATAATTTTCTATGTAATTATCCAACTTATTCAATGCCAGCACAGGAATGACATGTTATGCAAAAAGTTTATATTAGGAAATAAGCGCAGCACAAACGTTTGCTAGGATGATGATGTTATTGGCCGAAATTAAAAGATTCTGGCTTTGTCTGACAGCACTATATAGTGGTTATGCAATTTTATATGAGCGTCCAAATGTTTAGTGGATGAAAAAGTACTCAAAATTTCCTGAAATGCACCTTGAAGAGTAGTGCTAAGTTTAAATTCAGCACCTAATCTGCCACATTCATAGCCCCCTGGCCTGTTCGGTTTGGAAGACTTCCAGTTATGTGGTTGACAAATGCAGCCGCCTTGTTGCATAAGATAGAGCTGAATAGTGGTGATCATTGTAAATATTTCAATTTAATAAGTATGTGAGTATTTCCATCTTAAATCAATAAAATGATAGCTTTTGAGTCAGATATGTGGCGGATAATGTTTGGTTTATTGAAAAGTTGTATCTGTCCCTGTGCAAACGGGTTTGGCTAACGTTTAAGCACAGATTCCAGTATCTGTACTGTATGGAGACTATAAATCTGATATTCACTATAAATTCACTATAAATCTGATATTCACGACTGCTTGTTTAATGGAGTTTAACCAGCCCTAAATCAGCCTTAACCCTCAGTTTGCGCTTTCCCGCAGATGGTCCGCCGCTATTAGTGCCTTCCCAAACCACAGTGGGTAGGGGGAGTGGACCGTTGAGCCATAGCGAGTCTGCATAACTGCAGGTTTGCTGGAATTTGGCAGCAGGTGTAACAGCGGCTTGATGGCGGAGGAGATGTGTGAATTTAAATGTAATTTCCAAGATTCGCCGCGTCTTCATCACACTGACAAAAATCACAAGTTGGGTATGAGAAAAAAATAACTGAATTCCAAAAGGGAAGGTCTTCTTTGAAATAGTTTTATTTCACTGTATACATTTGTTTTAGGAAAGGGACAAATGTTATTTATGTCAGCCTCCGCCAGAGAGCTGGAGCCACGCACATGGGGCATCACTGTGTTGCCTCAGCAAAGACCGCTATCTTTTTCTATTGGAGGGAGGAGGCCCCCACTGTCTTGTCTTGTTTATACCCCCCACACACACACACACCTTTAATCAGAGCTTCTTCCGCAGCTGCCAGTAAGTTTTATTGCGAATTACAGTTGATATTTAAGTGTTAGTGGTTAGGGACCGGTTTGGGATTCAACCATATAGTCCCTATACAAATACACTATATTGCCAAAAGTATTTGCTCACCCATCCAAATTATTGGAATCAGGTGTTCCAATCACTTCCATGGCCACAGGTGTATAAATTCAAGCACCTAGGCATGCAGACTGTTTTTACAAACATTTGTGAAAGAATGGGTCGCTCTCAGGAGCTCAGTGAATTCCAGCGTGGAACTGTGATAGGATGCCACCTGTGCAACAAATCCAGTCGTGAAATTTCCTCGCTCCTAAATATTCCACAGTCAACTGTCAGCTGTATTATAAGAAAATGGAAGTGTTTGGGAACGACAGCAACTCAGCCACGAAGTGGTAGGCCACGTAAACTGACGGAGCGGGGTCAGCGGATGCTGAAGCGCATAGTGCGAAGAGGTCGCCAACTTTCTGCAGAGTCAATCACTACAGACCTCCAAACTTCATGTGGCCTTCAGATTAGCTCAAGAACAGTGCGCAGAGAGCTTCATGGAATGGGTTTCCATGGTCGAGCAGCTGCATCCAAGCCATACATCACCAAGTGCAATGCAAAGCGTCGGATGCGGTGGTGTAAAGCACGCCGCCACTGGACTCTAGAGCAGTGGAGACGCGTTCTCTGGAGTGACGAATCGCGCTTCTCCATCTGGCAATCTGATGGACGGGTCTGGGTTTGGCGGTTGCCAGGAGAACGGTACTTGTCTGACTGCATTGTGCCAAGTGTAAAGTTTGGTGGAGGGGGGATTATGGTGTGGGGTTGTTTTTCAGGAGCTGGGCTTGGCCCCTTAGTTCCAGTGAAAGGAACTCTGAATGCTTCAGCATACCAAGACATTTTGGACAATTCCATGCTCCCAACTTTGTGGGAACAGTTTGGAGCTGGCCCCTTCCTCTTCCAACATGACTGTGCACCAGTGCACAAAGCAAGGTCCATAAAGACATGGATGACAGAGTCTGGTGTGGATGAACTTGACTGGCCTGCACAGAGTCCTGACCTCAACCCGATAGAACACCTTTGGGATGAATTAGAGCGGAGACTGAGAGCCAGGCCTTCTCGTCCAACATCAGTGTGCGACCTCACAAATGCGCTTCTGGAAGAATGGTCCAAAATTCCCATAAACACACTCCTAAACCTTGTGGACAGCCTTCCCAGAAGAGTTGAAGCTGTTCTAGCTGCAAAGGGTGGACCGACGTCATATTGAACCCTATGGATTAGGAACGGGATGTCACTTAAGCTCATATGTGAGTCAAGGCAGGTGAGCAAATACTTTTGGCAATATAGTGTATATCCTAGAATGTTTCGCAAGGGCTCTCCGAAAATAATCACAGAATTTGTTTTGTGAGAACGAAAGAACAAACATGGCACAGGCACTGTGCAGGGAACCAGACTCCCATGACCAACAGGGAGCGAAAAGTAGAGATCATCTGTCCAAGCGCTCAGTTAACTGAGTTCATTGTAAAGTCTACAATCTTTCTAGTCAGCACTCTATGTAGTGATTGAGAGTTTAGGTGTTAGGGCAGCTGTTCGGACATAGCCAAAATCCATCTATCTTCTGTTTCAGTCCTTTTCAGGGTCGCAGTGGAGCCAATGCTGATCTCCAGCAGTCTACGGGCAAGAAGCGGGGTACACCCTGGACAGGTCGCCAGTCTGTCACAGATAGCCAACATCTTAAAAACCAAATCAGCACAGACAATAGTTTTACCTGCACAAATCAAGTAGCACTGAAAAACTATAATTTTTCTTCAAAAGGGAGCTTAATGGGGAATGGATGAACTCTGGGTGACCTAACAAAATAGAAGCAGAGGAAATTTTTCAATATATGAGGGGACTAAAAGATAGGACTGGAGCAATGGAAGAAGGTCGTATGATCTGAGGAGACCAGATTAACCCTGTTCTAAAATGATTGGTAGATCAGCGAACAAAGAGAAGCAGAGGAAGCGATGCGCTCATTATACCTAGTGCCTACTTTAACAGCATGTGGGGGTATTGCTAGGATCTTGGGCTGCTACAGTTGATCAGGTGTAGGTTTACACCTGAACAGTATGTGCTCAAAGATAAGATCATCTCACATACCTGTATATACTAAATGACAAAGTCATTTTATCACTGGGTGTTTTTCCTCTCTTCTGACACAAGCATATTCCAAGATGACAATGCCAGGAGTTTTTGGGCTGGAAATGTCAATGAGTGGTTCAAGAAGCATTAGATATCATTATAATACATGGATTGGCCAGCACAGTGTTGTTAAATGAGGAAGTAATGTCCCCTAAAAAGGCGGTTGCGCCTTGGGGCTTCCCCACCGGTTCTTTTCCTGGGAGCAAGTTACTTACTACTCTTAACTCAAACTGTAAAACCATATAAAAAAGGAATATTAAAACAGGAGTAAAAAAGTAACAGAGTTTATTCCAGATCTGGTCGTTACAGGACAGAGAAAATGCTTGGAGCTTGCACAGCTGTGGGCTCAAAAAACACGTCCGCGAGCGTCCGGCAAAGATTGAGCCCCGAACAAGGTTATCTTCTCCTTCTTATAGCTCATGAGTCTATGTGTTGGATCATGTGGATGTTTAGTTGTCCGTATCCGAAACTGACACGCCATCCATGCCCTGACCTGTATGCATCTTGCCTCTATGCCCAAGATTACAGATACATCTCCTCTATCTGGCTGGCCTCAAGATTTGCCCATATCGTGTGTATCTTTAAAAGACAAGAAGGCTGTCCTATTTAGATGACCTCCCTACACAAAGTGACATCCGATATGTGAAGGAAGGCCATCTACTCTCACTATCTGGCTAACAAAGTAAAAATGCACATGATGTATAAAATAATAAACCTAACAGTGTCCAATCCTTAACCAAATAGAGAAACGTTGGTATTTGCAAGAAAATGGCTAGCACAGTCATCAGACACTACCATAATCACTGCAAGATCTTGGTGAAAAATTAAAACCACACTGGGTGTGAGACTGTAGATTCTTATGGAAACAATGCCTAGGGAAAGTTTGAAATCAAAGTTAATGGGAGTCCATCGATATCGTAATATGCAGACTTATTTTGTTTTTGCCATGTAGGCTCTGAACTAAGAGGTTCCCAAACATATGGCATAGTGATTCCTGCCAGAAGTAAAGGAGTGCTCCAGGTGAGGCTTGAACTCACAACCTCGGCATTGCTCAGTTGTACTGCCTTATAAGTACCGTGCGCTGACCGATTGCGCCACTGGAGCTGATGATAGAGTAATGTTAGTATGCAAATTTGTCAAACACAAAAGGTATATCTTATTTGATACAAGCAATACGAAATATATTTGCAGAAAAAAATGTAGTCTTTTATAGGGAATAAACCGAATGTTACAAGACAGACTTGTTTTTACCTACACTATT